ATTACAAGTATTAATTATGTTTCATTCCTGTTTGACATTATTATGTATGTAGATTGTAATATTGGTGATCATTATGATGAAGAACTGAGTGTACGGGGAAATTTAATTGCTAGAAGCAAATGTAACTTCTACTATTATGTTGTGGCAAGTTGTGTTTGATTGATTGCGCATGTTTTTATTAAAAAATTAGTGTTATGTGGAAATATATGTGTTGAAAATGTGTAATTATTGTTTGAAAAATTGTATTGCTAGCAAGATGAAAAACTGATATATATATATATATATATATTTATGTTTGGTATGAAAATTTCATGTTTAAAAGTATGCAATATTGTTTGGAATTCATATCTGTTCGAAAATAATATATGCATGAATTGTTTGGTTGTGGGAGATTATTTGGGAGAATTATTGTTTGGAAACAAACTATACCACGTGGTATGCTCTCATCTAATCCATGAGTGGTTCTTTGACACTTGAACTAGCTTACCTTTGACTAGGTGAGTTGCGCTTCAAGTATGCCGTGGGTCTTTGAGAAAGGAGGGGATAATGATATGGTCTTGTTTATATGTTTGATTATGTTCAAAATTTTTTGGAATTTCTTCGGACTAAATTGTTTAGAAATTATTTTGCATTCCCCATTTAACAGTCACATGATTAGTTACACGACATGTATTATAGCATATTAGTATTAGTTATTAGGACCTTTGTATCTCATTTCTCATGATTAATATTTTTATAGGAGTGAATCCACCCATAGAAGCACATGAGGGTTAGATTTGATATATGGGATACCACTATATTTTTATTATATCTCCATTTGTTAGTTGAGGTATATTTGCCAACTTAGGGCTTATTTTGTTGAATTAGAACATGTTGACTCTTGAATTTTGTTAATCTCTTTTAGATTGTAGCCATGGGATTTGTGTCCAACATCCATGGCCTCATTTGATTGATCTAAAATATTTAAATTATGTTTAGAGATTACATGATATTTTATTAAATATTTTTATATAAACTGTGTTAGGTGGCTGTAACTCAATAGTAGACTTTGATTGTTTGTAGTTGATGATAAAAATTTTATATGATATTGTGAATAATGGTGTTGTGGTTAAGTGGTTCACCTTAATTTTTGGTTTTGGTTTGTGAGTTGTAATGTTAAATATTTGGAAAATATTGTTTGACCTCTAAATGGATTATGTTAATTAATTCTTTATTTGCAAACATTGTATATTAAACCAAAGCTAATATTTAGATTATGTGTATTATTTTGGGTGGACACTTGAATCATTGAGTTTGGATATTTGAGAGAAAAAGATATGATGTGTTAAACTAAATCGTTCATGAGAATTCTGATTTCATATTGTACGTATCTTGGATTTATAACCTTGTTTTAAAAGTGAGATTCCACTGGATCCCATTAGGTGGATATTTCTATTTTTGTAAAACTACTATTTACTATGGTAGGTTTGTTTAATAAGTTTAATTAATGAAAATCATATTTTTTTTTAATCATGGTAGAGTTTTATTTAAATTGATTTGCCTCTTTTCTATCATGGTAAACTTTTTAAAAGATAAATTTGTCTATAATTACCATGGCAGAATTACCATGGTAGGTTTAAATAAGTGTGTGAAAAAGTAGTGTTACATTGATGCATCCTTATTTTTCTCCCCATTTTGTTTTTAGTAGTGAGCTAAGATTGTGGAGAGAGTTGAATAAGGACAAATATGTGATCAAAGGAAGGAGAAGGTGGGGGTAGGATTGGTCTAGAATTTCTTTAAGCATTCTCAAGTAATATTTGGAGGCTAGGTGTAAGTTGTAAAGTCGCTCTCACTAATCCAATATCCAACTAAACACACCATTGGTAATAATTAGATTTAACTCAAGAGGATTACACAACTATGATTAATTATTTAAAAGTATTTCAAAATTCAAAGGATATTTGTTCTAATAATTGGGATCCCAAGTTTAAAACTTTATATAAAAAAATCAAATATGACTTTATTGAGTTAAAAAAAGTATAAATAAATATGAAAGCATGTGATATCATTTGGTAGTCAAAAAGTCTCAAAACATGTTGAAAACAACAAGGAGAAAGAAAAACAAAGGGGCACACTGTAATATGTGTGTAATGTCCATTTTAATATTATCAAAACACATAATATCATTATGATACTCAAGATTAATTAATTTTTTATATAAGGTTATCATAATACAATGTTTACAAATCAAGTTTTAAAATATTTGGGATCTCAAGAAATCTTTTTTGAAAAGATGTTTCTGCTCAAACTAAAGTATATAACAAATAAAAAGAAGTAACGAAAGCATGGCAATACAAATTAATACATATAAGGATTAACAGAGGAAAATTTGGACACTCCTCAAATTGCACCATCCGCTGTGTTGCATGTGTCATTTGTCACAATAGATGGCATAGAGGATTCACTCCCCTTGCTGTGTAATGTCAACAGATGGCACAGAGGGTTCACTCCCCTTGTTGTGTAATTTGCCTCGACATGTATGCCTTGTGTCACGACACACCCCTGCTATCATGACAGTTCTCTAGAACCAACTTTCGGAGAGCATCGTTTTTCTATCCAATGTTCGATTTGAGTAATTTAAGTGTTCACGCGTAGCTTTTAGGTCCACCTAACTATTAGCATTAGTTTCACAATCAAACACTTCCCCAATTAATAATTGGACACTTGGACACAAAATTATCCTTTTTTCTTTCAAAATATATATAAGGGTGTACAAACTCACCAACCAAGTGCCAATAACTTAAGAACCACTTGAACCAACTTAATGGACCATAAATCATACAATGACAATTACATCCCAAATATAAATTAGCCATTAAAACCCATTTTCACAACAATTCAAGGGGGTGGCAATAACCATATATATCAATCCTTATGGCCAATCCAAACACATACCAGTAACCATATTTAGCAGCTAATCAATTTATTTTTATGAAAAGAGAATTGGAACTAGTAAATTTCAATGAGTTATAAGTATTTCTTTTTCCATATTTATTTAAATTGATTTATTGGTATATTAATAACTTTAGCATCAAAGTGTATAAAGATTTTTTGTAGGTTTATGTTCTCACTATCGAAAGTTGGCATAACAGTTAAGGTACCAAGTAAAGAATATTAATGAATATTAATATTAAGCACAACAATATCAGTACTCAAGTAGGGTTGAAGCATAAAAGAAGTGAAGAATACCGGTATGAAAAAAACAACATTGATATTTTAGAGAAATACCAGTGCTAAAATGGTTAATACTGATATACAATCAAAGAGGAAGAATTTGAAGAAAGAATACCAATACTAAGTCAAGAACTCTGATATTGTGAAAGAAATTAAAGAAAGCAAGAGGAATACAGGTAATACTTAAACAATTCAAGTATTTGTTGAGAATTCTTCAACAATATACTAACCGAGGAACAAAGGCAAAACCATTCTAGCACTCTTTAACACTACCTGAAATGGCTCACAAACCAAGCAACAACACCAAAAGTATTCAAACAATATAGGTACTTATGAAGTAGTTATTATGTTTAATCTATTGTTCATTGATCTGAAATTATGATTTGAAAAATTCTTAACTGTTAATCTTTAATTTTAATTAATTATATTTTTGAAAATTTACAACGGTTACTTGTTAATACCTATACTAAGCTTATCAATACTGATATTCATCTTAAAGATGTGCTCTATTCATTTGTTCCCCAACTCTCTCTCTCCCTCTATCGAAACTCTTAAAAACTCTCCTTAATTTCTCTCAATGTACCTAATCTTTTTCAATTCCTCTTGCTCAAACCTTCGTTTACCCTCTACGATCAAACAGGATAAGATCAAGTTGCCACCAATACATTATGTAGTAGAACCATCAGAGAGCTCCTCAGCATTTGCTCTATGGATCCTTGATATCTTATATATGCAATGTGGATAAGGTAGTCTATTTAGAAGGGAAGGCTCAAGCAAGTTGTAAAGAGATGGGTCTGAGAACTCTCAAGAAGATGGGTTTGCCTTTATTGATGGACGAAGCTTTGCTATTTCCAAGAAGAAAATCGAGGGAGTGAGTGAACCAAGAGGGTAAAATCGGAGATAGCTGATGAGAAGAATTGACGCAAGATTCCTGGAAGAAAGGGAATTCGCAATAAAAATGGTTGAGCTAATTAGAGCTGATATACGCGAAGAGTTTGAAGATATGAGGACCAATCTCTTCAAGGGGTTAGATGAGATAAAGGGCGTGGAACTGCAACTAATCCATGGAAGAAGTCCACCTGTTCCATAGGAGTTTATTTTCAAATCAAGATCAATAAAACTTGAAAATAAATGGTAGGACCAAGGAATTAATTCTAAAATTTGTTTTGATGAAGAATGACAAAAATACCCTACATTAGTCATTTTTTTAAAGAAAATTTCCACCTCTCCAGAGCCCTACTGCCAGCAATCGATGACCAAACAACCACCACTATGGGCAGCAAAGTATGAATATTCTAAAGTGATAGGGGGTTTGAACTTATAATCCCTTAATTCACCAAAAAATTAAATTCATAACCACAAAGTCTGTTTCTTAATTGTATGATGTAAAATCTCATGTAAGACACAATCATGTTTCCAAGCCAAGTTAGAGTTAACATGTTATTTCATTACTACTTATTCATTCAGTAACGCATACTTGTTAATTAAGTTAATAGGAAAACTTGGGAATAATGGGTATTCAGGTTATTTGACAACTTTAATTTTTTTTATTGCATGTAGGTGCAGTCTCAATCCTTTCTTAATTTCATACCCAACGTCCAAAAACCCCCTCCCAATTTTTTTTTTTAAAAAAGCAATGCGAGCATGAAAAACATAACAAACACCTGAAATTAAAAGCAATGCGAATTGATGTTGACTATTTAGACTACATCATTCAAATGACAAATGCTTGTGGCCTTCAGATTCAACTATCAACCTTACATTTACATGGAGACAATACAGGCATTGTAAGTGTGAAAGGAGAGAATGCACGTAATTGTGGTTCTAAAGCTTTTTTTTTTTAAAAAAAAAAAAAAAAAACACACACACACACACACTGTCCAAATTAAAGAAGATGCTAATTTGCAAAGCAAGAAGTAATGCACTCTAGTTGATCAAATCAAAACATTTTCATCTTCTGCTAAAGTCCTCTGCAAAGTCCTCTCCCTAGCCAGTCTTGCCTGCAAATTCAAACTCTCCCGTAATGAGAACATTTCATCACATAAGCATTATACAAATCTTCAAATATGTTCTTGCAGAATCTTAATTAATTATATTGTTCAAAAGTAGAAGACCAGAAATAAAATTTGAAGATGAACTGAAAGAGTATTCTTGAAAGTGAAGAACAAACCTCTTTTGCCCAATCTGTACGACTTATAATGATCAATAGCAAAATCACTTGGACAAGTTTACCCGTCGTTATTCCAAGCCAAAGACCTTTTGCTTTCATATGTACCACAAAACCCAAAATTGCAGCAAGTGGAATGCCAATAACATAATAAGCTCCGAAATTCACATATGCCCCTATGTGCTGCCACCCACTTCCCCTAGCAATCCCTATTTTAGACAAGAATTTGATTAGTAGGACACCAAAAACCAAAGTTTAAATACAAAATGAAAATATATATATATATATATATATTGATTTGATCATGAATAATATTAAAATGACAGGAGAAACGAAACAAAAAAAAAATCCATTTGAAATATGCAAATGACAATGAGGTCCTATGGAATATGATATTTCTTCTTAACTCCCTTAAGACCTTTCTAATGTTAATGTCATTTGTGAAATGATTATAATGCTGCTAATTTAAAATAAAAAAGGAAACATACAATGGCTACTCTGATTTGAATAATGACTACTTTTTTTTTTATAAATGATTAATATAGAATAGCAAATGATTTCCCCTCTGAGAATTTTTTTAATAATTGAAATCTAAATGTTATGAATATCAATGACTACTTTAATTTAAGTAATGACTACTTTTTTTTCCCTAGTAATGATTAAAATGGAATAAGTAATTACAACTTTCTCTTTGCAAAATTTTTAATCATTGAAACTCAAGTATTGCAAATATCAATTGTTATTTTGGTTTAACTAATGAATACTTTTATTCTAACAAAATGGTATAGCCAATAACAAGTTATGCCCTACGCATTTCTCTTTTTATTTTCAATTGAGGACATCATGGTCATTTAACTATGATATACATAGTTATTACCAAGTAGCTAACCCTACTTAGTGGGATAAGACTTATTGTTATTGTTATTGTTATGTACTCATTTCATAAAAGATATTAATGTCAAAAAGGTCCTTAGGAATTTAAGAGAATTTATCATATTTTGTAGGATGTTATCATCATTTGCATATTTGGAGGAATTTTTTTTTGGTCATTTTCCTTGGAACAAAAGATCTTACCTGTAAGGGTACCTTGTAAGGAGTCCACAAAAACCGACATAACTAAGAGAGGAGAAATGTTTGTGACAGAATGTATCACATCTGGCTCATTGCTAAAAACATGACCTAAAACATCCCGACTTGTGAAAATAATTGAGCTCACTGTTATGGCCTGACAAAGCATTATAATCCTTGAACATATGGCAGAAACTTGTGCTTCTTGTGGACTTCCAGCTCCTAATGCATTTGAAACTCTTGTGCTGAATAATAAAACCATTCGTAAGAGTCACCAATGACAATTAATGAAATGATTGATTAAGAAATTAAGCAGTATGAGTCACGAACAATGCAAATTAATTAGTTCTATATTATTGGAGCCTATTAATAATGAATGCATTGGAGAACGTTATGTGATGCAAACCTTGCTGCTGAGCCAATTGATTCTGGTATTGCATAGATTGCATAGTTCATTGATACACTGGTCACAAAATTAAAATTTAAATGAAGAATTAGTTAATTTAGAGGCATTATTTTTTTTAATAGACTAAAAGCATTATTTGACAAGAAAATTTTTTTTAATAAATTTTGGATGCTAAAACATTTAGAAATAGCATATACCATACGGCTAAGATTGACGTTTCAAGCTCTGGGTTTGGTCGTAGAAGACCAGCAAGCAATATAGTCACCTCATATGACCACCATTGGAAGCTGAAATATCCAATAATCAATTATTAACAATATAACATAAGAACGTATAGAAAACCAAATTATTATGTGGAAAAGAATAATACCATGCCATTATAGTTGAAGGAACAGCCATGCCAAAGTACTCTCTAATCCCATGAAAAAGCTCCATGGAAATTGGAACTCGAGTATTTGCACAAGAGTTAGAGAATTTCATATATAATGCAAGTATGGTCACGTTCAACCAATATGAGGTACCAATAGCAAATGCTCCTCCAAAACGACCCAAATTGGATTTAAAAACTAATGTCCAAGAAAAAACTACATGGAAGCAAATGGTAAATGAAGAAGAGAGTACAAGAGGAGTGATCAAACTTTGCATAAGATAATATCGAATCAAGGCTTGAAGTGTTGCATAACCAAAGAGAGCAGGAATCAAGCAAATTGCAAATTTGCCTGCTTCGTGTGAAATTAAAGGGTCTTGACCAAGCAAAACTAGTATCTTCCCCAAGTTGAGCCACAACACAGACACAGGAATACAACATAAGATAAGACAGAAGATGCCAGTTTGAATTTGAACACCAAACTTCTTATATTGCTTAGCTCCATAGGCTTGTCCACATAGTGTTTCAAGTGCAGAAGCCATTCCAAACTGTTAAGGAAGCAGAAAACATGCAATAGAAGATGAAGTTGATAGTCTTAAGAGTTGAATGCTTGTACGCAAAAGAATAAGTTACTTACCATAATGCTGAAGCCAGTTACAGCACAAAGAGACATGGCAACACCAGTGCTAGATTGAACAAGCTTACCCAATTGACCCACCATCATCAAAGAAATAGTTTGTAGAAAGAAAGTTGAATAATTCACAGCCACCATTGGCCCTGCTACATAACAAACCTCTTTCACTTCTCGAGCAAGGACACGCCATGTTAAGTGTAGATGATCCTCTTGGTTCAATATCAGCTCTGCGTTGCTCTCCAAGAGATTCTTATCCATTTTCTTCCCCCTATCTAGTTCAAAGGCACTCCTGTCAACACTCAGAACGTATGACAAGAGATATCAGTCCAGGCTCTTTGAATCATGTTTGTCATTGTTAAGAAGAATTACAAATAGTACATATCTTATCAATGCCGTCTAAAGCAAATCAAATTTAAATGTCCATATCTCATCAATGCAATGATAATGCTAATCACTGTAATAAATGCCCAACCCAAAACCATTCAACCACCCTTAATTATACCAATCCCTTCTATGGCCTTTTAAGTTTTAATGCAATGCTAGTGCATAATGCTCTCTCTCTCTCTCTCTCTCTCTCTCGGCGAAAAGTTCATAATTCAACGTCAGGTTAATGGAATGACTAGGAGAGAAAGTGATGCAAAATGCAACAGCCATCAAATGGTAGTAGTGATAGGAGCTACGAAGTTTAAAAGAAAAATACAAAATTACAAGTTTGACATGCTATAAACAAGTCTTAATTAATAGTATACGCAAATTCAATTAAATATTACACATTTTCACAATAACAAATAACAAAAATCCGTATCATTTTATTAATAAATAAAAATTGAAGAAATTCTCGGCAAGAATTAGAAAGCAATTGAAACAAACTAGAAATGAAAACAAATCTATTTCCACAAGCTTAAGCTGCGCAATCCACAGAAACCAACTCCTAACACTAAACACGCTAGCTACCACACTTCATCTTCTTCGGGACGGTTAAACAAGGATTCACACGTTAGTGTGTGTGTCTTTTTTATTTTATTATTATTATTATTATTATTATTATTATTTGTGCTCTGGTATCCCGAACCTACCTCACTCAAGGAGTAAGGATTTAACAGGGTCAGACTAATCTGAATCTAGATTTGACAAGCACCGCAAAAGTGGGCACCTTTGATCACATACGCAGTTGCATTCTCAAAACTTGAAATCAAAATCTCTAGTTAATTAGTTGGAACAACCATTGCCAGTTGATTCAAGTGTCCATGGTCATATGTGTGTCTCTTCTAGGTATAGAGAAGCTTTCTGAGTGGGAAACGGGAAGGAGAAAGACGCATTGGTTTCTAAATCTCAAGGATGACTTACCAGTACTATAATAAGCTTCTGATAATGTTAATGTTGAAGATGATTCCAAATTTTTTGAAGCAGCACGGCAGCTTTGAAAATGAATTTTAATAATGAGAGATGAGAGTCAAGAAGAAAAACGGATGGGCTGCGTGAGGATCTGCCGCATTTATGAAGCCATCCTATACGCACGGTGTTGCTTGGCTCACTGCAAGTCTGCAATCCCCACCATACATATTTAAAAATAAGGCACGTGTTGCCTACCTTTTGGAATGCACTTGATTGTGATCGGTTGTCCAATCAAAAAACGAAAAAAAAAAACAGAAAAAGAAAGAAAGAAAGAAATGGACAAACCACCTAATACATTCCCTCCTTTAAAAAATATAAAATATTTTTAACTGAATCTCATCTCCTATTAAAATAATTATTTATTTTTAAATTAATTTTATCTTTTTATATTCATTCTATTAAACACCTTATCATAAATATAAAGTCACTATTAATAAAGACACTTTTGAAAAAGAAGCAATGATTATTTCTTAAAAAATTAAAAAATATCTCATATTTTTAAATATTCAACCTCTCAAAACATCCCTTACATTTTTGAATGGAGGGAGTATATAAAAAAAATTCATGTGATTCTTTATATTTATTAATTTAGATCTTTATATTAATTTATCTCTTATTCATCATAAAGTGTAATATAATTAGAACTGAGAGTAAAAAAATAAAAATAATATATATTTTCATGAAAATTTTTTATTGATATATGAATTTTTTAAAAAATTACTTATATTTTAAATCTGAAAGAGTATTTTTTAATAATTTATAATTTCTGATGATATTTAAATTTAAAGTGATAAGTTTTAGAATAAAATATAAATTTTCAACATAAAAAAAAATTATCAAATAATTTTGTGCATATTATTATCCAGAGTTCCAGACTATATTTAAAATTGCCCAAGTGGAAAAATATAAGATAAAATAAATAATAAGAAAAATTTGGCTAAATTGTACACGTATTTCTCTAATTTTATGCAAGATTTTATTTTAGCTCTTTAATTTTTATAAAAAGATCTTTTTAATCTTTTAACCTTAAAATTACTGACTCCATTATCAAAAATGTTATATATTGAACTTTTCAATAATAAAAAAAAATTTTTAAATATTGACACATTAAGTTTTATTTTTTAAAAATAACAATAATTGGTTAAAAAGTAATTTATTTAAAAATAATAATATTAAATTTAGATGAATAAAAAGATACTATATAAAATTAAGTGATTAAATAGAAACCTTATATAATTTTAAATGGCTAGATGTACAATTTAACTATGAATTGAAGAATAGAATAAATTATGAATTTTAAAATTTTATTTTATGCATTTTAAAAATTATTAATATTAATTCTTATAAAATTATTATGTCAATATTTTAATAATTATTAATTTTTTAAAGTTTTAAATTTTCCCGTGCATTGCACTGTGATAAAAAACAAGTTTAAAAAATAAGACACGTGTATGTTGCCAACGTTTTGTACACACTTGATGGTGATCGATGGGTTCTTCAATTTAAAAAAGAAAAAGGAATATTTTTTTTAAAGAAAAAGGTATATATAATCACTCCGAGAATATCGCGTTGGAATTTCCCAAAAATATTATATAATTTTATCATAGAAATATGCACACATTAATGATCAGTTCTTTGGTATAGTATCAAAACCCTTTAAACCCGACTATGCAAGTTATGGTAGATAAAAAGTTTTTGAGGGAAGAAAAACATTTGGCCAAAAAAAGAAAAGAAATAAAATATTAATAAAACATACGTTAAACAATACTTTTAATCATCCAACTTTATATAATATTTCATGTTAGTCTTTTAATTTTACAAAATATATTTTTAATTCTTTAATCTTAGCATTGTTAATTTTATCATACAAATTTTTTACTTTAAATTTTTAAATATTAACAAAACATTCTTAAATATTAAGATGTTAAGATTATTTTTTTAAAAATAATAATGAATGGTATAAAAAAATAATCATTTAAAACTAGCTACATTAAGGTCAAAAGATTAAAAAGATATTTTAAAAATTTTATATAAAATTAAATGATCAAAAATATATTTTAGCAAAAAAAATATAGGATGACTAAACATTTCTATTCAGTCTTGTAAGAAGCGATGTCGAGAATATATTAGGAAAGGATAAAGCATTAGTAAAATACTTCGCAGATCCCCTTAACACTAATTGCAATCACATGATGATGTTCTAGAAGGTAACGTTATTACAAGTTTCATAGATCAACTGGATCATAAAATGAACCTCGGTTTCAATGCATTCATCTGGCAAATTACATAAAGAAACAATATAATTCCTTAACTTGTGGTGTTACACCTTTTTTTTAACACACACACACTTTCTTTCTGGTTTTTGCATTTTCTCTCAACTTTCTCAAGATTAGATGAAAATATTGGTTTGGTCCTATATACAACACCATATCTATTGATTAATTAATACAAGATATTTGTTTTAATAAAATTTAATGAAAACATTCATGACGCCCTTTTTCTATCCTTCTCATCTCTCTCCCTCCAATTAAATGTGCCTATCAAAGGGTTGTTTTAAAGAAAGTTAAAATGTATAAAACTCTCCTTAATTTTAAAGCAATTGCATAGAATCTCCTCACCTTTTAACTTTTAAAATTAACATCCTTAACTTTTAATTTAGTTTTTTAGAATCTCCTACCATTAATTAGCTGTTATTTTATTAAGGCTAAAATACACATTTAGTTCTCTAACTTCATATAATATTTTATTTTAGTCTCTTAATTTTATAAAGTATCTTTTTAACCTTTTAATTCTAACATCATTAATTTTATCCTAACAAACTTTTACATCAAACTTTTAAATATTGACAAAACATTCTTAGATGTTGACATATTGAATTTAATTTTTTTTAAAATAATAATAGTTGATACAAAATATAATTATTTGAAAAAAATGATGTTAGAGTTAAATGATTAAAAATATAATTTAAAAAATCAAATTAAAACCTTACATAAAGTTAGAGAATTAAAAATATACTTTAACATTTTATTAAATAGTTATTGCTATGTCAGATTAATATAATACACATGGTATATGATATGAAAAAAATATTTTATTATTTTTTAACACAATTTAATGATGGAAAATCATAATTTTTTCTTTAAACAAACATGACGATGCTTAGTATAAAAGGCTATTTTTCTTTTCATTTGTTTATTATAAAAGGCTATTTTAATTGATAAATAATAACAGAATTATAATTTTTCTTAAATTTTATTACCCGTGAACAATAATAACAATGTCACTCAAATGAAAAAAAAAAAAAAGAGAGTATCATCATGCATGTTAAAAATTAAAAATTACAATTTTATGCCTTCTAAAATTGTGTTAAAAAATAATAAATCATATTTTTTCATAGCATGTGCCATGTGTGTTGTATAAATGTAACATGACAATAATTATATTAATTAAATAATAATTAATTAATGTAAAAGAGTTTATGTAATTGCGTCAAAGTTTAGGAGGGTTTATACATTTTAACCTTGAAGAAATTTTTAAATTTTTTACATTTAATTATTTTAATTAAATTTCTTAATTTCAAAAAATTGTATTAACTACAAGTCTTTTTTATGCATTAAATACATGCCTTTTAATTTTAATAAATCAGGGGGCGTGTGCATGTATACATATAGCATGTCTTGTCTATAGCTAGTGTGAGATTGCGAGTCTAACCCATATGGACCTGGAGCAAATAAGATTAGGCATGTAAATCCTATTACCATTTTTTTTCCTATGTTTTGAAGTTCGATCCGAATTGATCAAGTTTAGGTCCCAACCCAAAAAGAGCTTGTATAACTAATTTTAACAAAATAATTTTTTATAATTGTTATAATTAAAGTAGTACAACATTAAGGCTTGGATTGAATATAAAAAAATAGGGGCGAAATGTAGAGGAAAGAATATATATGGGAAGAAAAAGGAAGAATGATAGAAAGATCTCAAAATGATCAATTAATTTAAGTTATATTTTAAGTATCAAATTTTAAGAATTTACAATTCAATATTTTAATTTTGTAACACCGTTATAATAAATTTACAACTTATATTCCAGATTTTAACAAAGAAAATAATTTTTTTATTCTTCAATAACTATGTTAAAATTTAAAAAATAAATTATAAACTCATCACAATATAGTTACAAAGTTGAAATATTGAGTTACAAATTTTTAAAATTTGACACTTGCAACCTAACTTGAATTAATTAATTTTTTTGAGGCTTCTTTATCATTTACCTAAAGAATAAACTCTTAAAATAATTAAAAAATATTAATTTTTAGAGTTTTTTCTCCTAGTGTTTTTTTTCTTTTTAATTTTCTCCTCATTCACAAACCAAGGGGTTAAGTTTCAAAAGTTAAAATTGCAAAAATAAAGTTAAATTGTTTAATCCTCCCAGGTGAAAGGATCACACTATTGCAAATTAAATGTTTACTTTTAACAACCCCTCAACTTTTTATATTTGCATAAAATATATGTTTGAAGTTAAAACTAGAAAGGGCCTAATTACTTGCCTTTTGCGTTTTACACTTTATTTTTTGAACCCAAAAGCTTTTTATACTAAAAAAAAAAAAACTACTTTTCAAAGGCTTAAATCCAAAAGAAACGGGTAACTTAATCGTACTCTCAACTCTTCCCAAAATTGCTGAAGTGCAAAACTAAACTACTTGTCCTTTAACTTTGTGAACTCCTTTTTCCCGGGCGTAGGACATTGTTGTTAGAGCAATACAGGCCTAGACCTTTAGACTAAATTATTTAAGGACAGGGATTGGAAAAATGGAGGATTTTTACATAAAATGACTTCAATGTTTGACCCTTATAAGCTTATTAAATATGGGCTAGGACTTGAGTTAGCTCATTTAAATCTTATATTGTTTTCTCTCTTTTTCTGATTAGCATATGGTTGCATTTTTAGATATATATTTCAAAAAAAAAATACTGATAAAATTGTTTCATTTGTTTTAATTTTTTTAATAAATATATAAGATTAAAAAAAAACAAAAATGATACAATTTGTTAAATTGTGTATTATTCCCTCCGTCTTAAATTATAAGACACTTTTAGATAAAATTTTACATACTAAAAAAATTTATTAAATATACTTTATTTTTTCAAGACAAGAATATAAACTTTTAAAAATACCCTTTATTTAATACTCCATTTATAAAAGAATATTGAAGATAGAGAATAAGGGTAATATTAAAAAATTATCATCAATAAAATTTTTATTAAAATATTTTCTATTTTGAAATGCTGAATCTTTCTTAAAATTAAATATTTAACGTAAAAATATTACGCAAGCTTTTAAACGCCTCAACCCAATCCTAAGCCTTATTGATAAATGTTGGGTTTGAGAAATATGGCCAATTTAAAACAGGCTGGGTTATGGATTTGAGACCTTAAGCCGGGCATTTAATAATTAAGGATCCACCTCACCCTTACTGACCATGTTCCTCTTTCTTCCTTCGTGATCATATTAGGAGGGGCCAGAGGGAATGAAGCATGAACAAGGGACCATTACCAAATGAAGTAGAGGATTAAGGAAGCAAAAGGAAAACACAGAGGGCAATGTCTCCAAAAGAAGAAAGGAAAAAGTAGGATTTAAAAGTGATATTATCAGATATCAGTAGCTAAAGTTGGGTCTTCCCTGGCTCGATCCCTTTCGTGTACTAGCTTTGTGATAATTAAGCTAAAATTAAAGCTGATTTTTCATGAGTAGCGTCAAAGGTGCCAACCCGAAAAGCTTCTTGCATGTGTTTATTTATTTTGAAAGAATGTCAAATGAATATATTAGCTAAAAATGTACAAGATAGTTCTACAACTCAAAAGAAAACATCAAAGAACAATTACAAAAGAAAATATCAACAGGCCTTGATAAAAACAGAATTAAAATAATTAAGTAGCCAAAGAACATCTTGAGTAAAGCAATCAACTTTATCCTTATTATGAGGTTTGAAGTTTCCCTAATCCTTTATGAGTGTGAATGTTGACGTGTTTAGTTGAAGGGTCTCATCACAAGCACATGAGTTTGTTTTAAGAAGAGACAAATCCATGAAAGGCTTTTCCCTGATGATAAATAATTAATCCTAATGTATACCAAATAGAATCAAACTAAACTAAATAAACACCAAGTGTATGTAGCCCAGTAGTACGTAGCAGCAAATTCACTGCTTCAACTTGCCGGAAAGTGATATATAGGTGGATGAGTTATAACTAACTAACAACAACAACAATATTAACCGGCTCACCAAACCTACAAGCTACAATATATATCACATATATATCTTACTGACAAGTGACAACGATTCCAAGTATGTCGCAAACAAATCCATCATCATACTTCCTTTGCTTTGTTGGACAGGGTGTCCTCAGCTACACATGGCTGGTAACGAGTATGATTTGGGCTTGGGATTCTATGAAGGAACCTGATTTTTCTTATCCTTGATTTAAGGGGACCAGCTTAATCAGAAAACTTAATTTTTGTTTTTTTTTTTGAATCTAAAAAATGTAATAGTGTTAATGATAAAACCTTTGCCCAGAAGAGTCTTGTCCTATCTCAATCGCGGATTAGCCTGCCTCATTAAGTCCTCTCAGCACGATGTGCTACAAATCTAAGATACTGGATGTTCATGCAAATTAAAATAATAATAATAATAAGGAACCCTATTTTCCCATGTCTCCCCCCCCCTCTCTCTCTCTCTGTGCCCCCCAACATTAGAGGAACCCCAAAATACTAAGTTTCATCAACCATCAATCGCTTATCATGACCAAAGAAAACATTTGAAAAAGAACTTAGAATTGCAACTAACGAATGACCATAATGCAAAATAAGTCAATCAACTAAGAATCCATTAAACCCAAAAATAAAAAAAAAAAAGTGGAAAACATACGGCATCGATGGATGAAGGAAGGAATAGTACCTACAGTATTTTTAATCGTCCAAATAGGAAGTAGTTGCAGGATCCAAAAGCCAAGACAGAGACAGCGACCGACAACAAAGCCTCGTACTTCTCCTATACATAAATAGACATACACGTTGTGCTTGTGTGTAAGCATGTGCGTGTGATGAAGGAGAAGTAATGAGGACAGAAAGGAACATACCGGTCCGTGTGTGTAATTTCGTCCGGTGGGTCCTGAACGTGAACAACGTGGGGGACCGCGGCGGCGGAAGGTGGCGACGGAGGGACCGTAAGGTAGGTGATTGTGTATGGGTTGTGTGAATGCGAGTGTGGGTGCGCCATAAGGACGATTAATGATTCGAGAAGGGTGTGAGTTCTGGACGAGTCGACTCGGTTGAGAAGCACAAGTGTAAACTCAAAGGAATGAGGGGTTCCTAATGCAATTTTGCCCTCTTGTTTGGGAAAAATTTCCCAAAAATAGCCTAATGAGAAAGAGAGAGAGAGAGAGACACGCACAATTCTCAGCCGCGACATGCAAATGCAATTCTTTTAAACTTGTAATCTTTTTGTTTTCTGCGAATTTTGTAGAATGTAGTAGAGTTTGAATGGCAGTAAAATTTGACTCGAATACGTACGCTTCCTTATTTTAACGGAGGATAAGGGAAAATAAAACGAATTGAAACACCTGTGCATTTTAAAAATTATAACCGAATTTTCGTATTTTATAAAAGAATTTATTTAGTTTTTTTTAATATTTTCCATAATTTACAAAAGAATTTATGTAAAATTGAAACGTTTGGGTTCAAAAAATTTTATATAAGAGATAACTGTATTATTTTGCTTCCAAGTGCTTTTTTTAATTCTTTCCCTGGTTAAATAAATCCTGATGAATGAAGGGCTTTTGGCCTTTATTGAAAATTATGCAAACTTGAGGTGTTTAGCATTCACTGTTTTGTAATCTTCTCTGATTAGTTTAGTCATTTTTCAGTTAAAAAATTAAAAATATTGACGAATGTTATCAATGGTTCACTGTGTGTGAAGTGTTCGAACCGACATTGAATGTTGACAAATATTTCTTGTTGACTCTTCATGCAAATTTTCCCCTTTTGTGATCTATGTGGGGCCCGCCTGGGTCTCTCTTGACCGAAAGCATTCACTCGACCGGGGACCGGGATCTTAGCCGACAGGCTTCTGCACGATGTTGGAAAATTGGATCCTATCCCTGCCAGTCTGCCCCGCTACAATTTTTTTTTTTTCAAAAAAATTTATTTTTTTGGCATGATATAATTGGGTCAATGGAGAATTCTTTAAATTACAAGGTCATAAACTGATCTTAAAATTATTTTTGACAAAAGATTGCACCTATTATTAATACAAATTAATTTTAACTATAATTAAAAAAGAAAAATAACATTATAAAAATGATTTAAAAATTATAAATAAAGATCCAAAAAATACAACAAAAGACTAAGAAATTTTTCTTGATCCTATTATAAAATTTTTTAAATTTTTTTGAATTAAGGTATATTTTTACTCCTACATTTTTTTTTGAAAAGCAGTTTTATTCTTATAATAATAAGTGGGATAATTTTATTATTGAACTATTTTTTCAAAAAACGTTATATGCCCTATAGAAGAGGTTTTTTACTCTTTCAAAAATAGTTGAAGAGTAAAATTGAATCTTAACACATCTTTTTTTGTTATTTTTATTTTAACTGATAGTCAAAATTATTTTTTATTAATGATGAAGGTGATATTACACTATTTTTAAAATTTGAATGAGAAGATTATACTAAAAATAAGTTTATAATTTTAGGTGCTGCTAAATTTATAATTTAAGGATCAAATTTTTATTTAATCCTATATAATTTGTTGGATTTAAATTCTCTTGTCGTAGCCCCATTTTCCCTCCTCCTATCTTTTCTCACATTTAGTTCTCAATTGCAATAATTAAAATTTATTACACTCTCGATTTAAAATATAAACATTTTCTCTAAACTAATATTGATCCAAAATATAAATAAATTAGTATTTATAAAAAAAATCATCTTAGCCCTTGTATTTATTGATTTGGATTCTCATATTTGTAAATTTAGAACTTTTTTCTGACTTACCATAAATTAAAATTAAGAATAAAAAGAAATATAACATATATTTTTATAAAAATAAAAATTTTATTGGTATGTGATTATTTTCAAAATATGCCTATATTTTGGAGATAGTAAGTATATTTTTATTATATTAAAAAGTAAAATAGAAGTGATGAAATTTATACTGTTAAAGTTTGATTTGAATAGTTTATAATAATAATGAAAAACGTAAAATAAAAAAAATCATTTTATAAAATATATTTCATTAAAGTTTGAATTATTCATGTGAAATTATAATAATTTATATTTATTTATTTTATTTTATGTTATAGTAAAAAAATTTATAATATATTAAATATTAACTGTTGCAAGATGCAACTTGTATGTGCTGGGAATGGAGGAGAGAAAACTGAATAAGGGAGCCAGCCAAGTCCTTACTTATTTTAATGCTTGCAATTTCCCCAAGTAGAAGCTGCACCAGCTACGGGATTCGGAAATCTAGGTAGAAAGTGACGATTTAAAGTGAATTTTTTTTTTCAGGAGAATCTCAGCCAAGACTTTGGATGGTACATATTGGCTCCACACAATTTAAAATTCCAAGATGGTAGGTTTGAGTGGAAATAATATTATAAAATAAAATGATTAAGATATTCATATTCCAATAATATATTGTAGCATAGTACGTAATACAAAAAAATTATCAACTAAAGTAAAACATTTGACCAGTTATGTAGCCAATTTTACAAGCTAAAGGAGTTGAAGTGTCGTGACTCTTTAGATGTTTTAGTGTGCTAGACATGTTAGAGAAATATGTTTTTAAAAAAGTGAGTTGAAATTAAATGATCAAAATAGCTGTTAATGTCCTTTGTCATAATTTTCGTAAAGAGTCAAGTAAATTATGGGAATAATAATAGGTGTATCATGAATAAGCTTGAAGCTCAGTATCATTATTTGAGAAACTAAGTATAATGAGGTGCTCCATGATTACAAAGGAGAAAAAAAGTTTGGAAAACTAGCCTAGAAAGTTAAGTTTGCATAGAGAGGGTAAGCTACACAGGGCAATATTGAAGATGATGAAAGGTTAGTAGTTAAGTAATTGCATAAGGAAAGTATGGTATAAGTTTGGCAAAATGTTAAAATCCCTTAAGTTACACAGTGTTGACTATTTATAGCAAATGGCAATAGTGCACTTATTTTGAAATTCAAATTTGGCACTAATGGTAATAGATAATTGTTCATGCCTTTAGATTCTTGAGGAGAGCTCCATCATGTAAAGCAATAGGCTGGGCTGCACTGAGAACTTCAAAGAGTGGATGGAGTAGGTATGACTCCATCAAGTCTTCCTTCAAAACACATAGTCTCACTTATTCGTGTAAGGTTGGACTGTTATTAGGTTGAGTATTCTTTTTTTTTTTTTTTCGGTTTGGGCTTTAAGAATCATCACAATTGGGCCTAGGCACTCTGATTTTAGTTCAAACAATGCCAAAGGTGAGAAATGTCTACGTATGCATCATTTCAATCAAAAATTCTCTTTACACGAAGATGAGGACATCTTCCTAAATGCTCAATGAACCTTATCTAATAATCATAGAGAGACTCTTGAAGATGTTGTTAAATCCTCATGATTTGCTCCATCAATTGAGAGTACTTAGGTTGGAAAATATTTCTCCAAAAATCATTACTTCATTTCTACCCATGAATTAATAGTCTTAGTTGCCACAATGTTAAACCAAGTGATAACTTTACCCTTCAAGGTGAAATTGAAGACTTTAAGTATCAAATTTTTCAAAGTAGCCTAAGGTGGCTTCATTATAGCACAAACTCTCTCAAGAATTTGAAGATGTCTATTTGGATCCTCCTCTGCAAGTTCATGAAACTTTGGTAAGTCATTAATCAAAGAAGGTTTAATTTCATAATCAACATTTTCATGTAAATTCATATTGAAACTACAAGCTCTAAAAGTATCATTAGATGCAACCAATTCTCTAATACTCCTTTGATTTTCAACATTTGGAGGTTTAAGCACATCTTTCCCATGCAAATTCACATTCATGTTAGCCATATGCTCAAATACAAAAGAATTGTCTATCAAGCAATTAGTAGAATTAGATGCCATGAGATCTAAGTATGCTGCTTTAAAATCAACAAACTCTTTTTTAAATGTCTCATACTTGTTACAAGACATACAATGCTCAAACATAAGCTAAGAAACTAATAAAAGCAATAAAAAATTCAAAACAAATTGAAAACACAAAATTACTCAAAGCAAATAAAATAGGGAAAATCATTCTAAGGTCCCATGGAAGCAATCAAAATATGTTGAAGTGTCATGAATTCATCAAATAGCTACTAGATCCCTAGGGATTTAAGGGTGAATGAGTCTGAAAATAAAATTATTAATTTTTTCTCTACCATTAAAAAGGAAATTTTGCTTGAACGCATATTTCACGAAACCCATGATTAGCTATACTGAAGATTGATGCATATTTATAATTGTTGATCATGGTAGGGTAATTTTCACTTCCTCATATCCATGATTACTGCCCTTGTCTTTATCTAAGTGAGGTGGGAGTGTTCATCCTCGACTGCAATATTTCATCGACAGAAAACAATATAGTAATTGTTGAGCAAGTAAATGATTTCTTATACATTAATGATTTCATTATTGTTTAAGGGTAAGATAATGCTTTTTGGGTATACCTGCAATCATTTGATTTGCATGGCTAATGGGTATGGATTTATCTGGTGCGACATTGATACGTTGAAAAATATCTGATATGAATAATTCTACATGTTCTCAATAGTGTATTCTTGTATTGTCAATATACTATGAATAGTTGTTGATATACTGTATTGTGCAGGATGACTTGTAAAAATGCTTATACTACTAGAAAACATGTATTATGTTATGTTTTTTTTATATAGAGGATATTTTATATATTATTCTTAAGCATTTGATACAAGCTTTTTTTGTTAAAAAATTTCTGTTGTATCTTATAAGACTGATTTGTGGTGTAGGATGACCTCTATAGGAAGAAAATAGAATTCATGTGGTGGCTATTGAGTCATTGCAACAACGTGAAAGAACACGAAGCCATGCCCTTGTTAGAAAGATCCCAAGAAAGGAAGAGGAGGAAATAGAAGATTATTAATAAAACTTTATGATATAACTTTATTGATAATGATGTCCTTTTATATAGTTAACCCATTTTGTGTAGTTAACTTAGACAATGTTATT